TCCCGGGCCGCGCCCCCGCGCCGAGCCTGCCGCGGGCGTTGATTGACGGCGGGGGGCGGGGCGGGCCCGCCGCAAGTTTGGAGAAGTGGCCGTGGGACTGTGGCGGGGACGCGCGCCCCCGAGCGCAGCGCCTCTGCCCTTCTCCTTCCCCAGACGTGTGTTGGGGTGTGTTTCAGGCAGGTATTTGGGGGCAGGGGACGGCATGGATTACAGATTAAAGAACACGTAACACCGGTGAGATTTGATTTATGGTATCACTGAGAACTCAGAGATGGTAGTATTTATTTGAGCCAGTTTTCTACAGCAGTTAGTGCCTTTTCATTTTTCAGCACGTTATTATCTTCTTCGGGAACTTAAAATTTTTTTCTTTTACTCTTTTTCTCCTTTACTTTCCTCAGAGGCTCTGCTGACCTGTGCTTGTAACTAACCTTTAACTGTCACAGCAGATGTCAGGTTCGTGCGTGGTCGTCTTGCCTGACCTCCTTGGGTTTGCTGTTACTGTTAGGCAGACGTTGCTGACATAATCTGTCTGAATTTGACTTTCTGTACGTTCCTGTTTTCCAAGTGGATTGTCTCAACACTGGTACTGAATATTTTTGCCTGCATGTGTCTGGGAATTTAACTTTTGGAGAGGAAGAGAGTGAATCAGTGAAAAATAAAACGGTGTGTAATAGCAAGTAGTTCTCACGACACGCTAATGTTTATTTACTACCACTCCGGAAACAAGTTTTGTAGACTGTAGGAGCTGCTGTGTTTTGAAGACTCTTGCTAATTGCTGTGAAGACAGCTGTCACACTCAAAAATGAGATGCCTTAGCATAAATTTTAAAGTTAATGTTTTTTTAGACCAGTGGTCTAATCCGGTCACCTTACTTTAAAACAAAATTGTTGAACAGTTGCTCATGTGAAAATGGACCTAGGAAGGAAAATCTTTGTTGCTGAAAGTACAACAGGTATGAGGAAAGGACCAGGTGTTGTGTGCAGATAAGAGCAGTGACAGTGAGGTGTAGGTGCTGAAGATTTTCTCTGTGGGGTGGGCAGGGTGTGTTTTAATGGATGGAAGTTATTTAAGATAGTCCTGTCTAGGCGTTTCTTTGGTCAACAATATATTTACTGAAATGACAAAAAATCAAATATTTGACTAAAGATGCAATATTTTCTTCTGAGACTGAAGGTTATAAAAGTCCTTTTATAATTTAACGAAGATATAGCTAAATTAGTAGCTTCTTTGTCTGCCTATTTAATTTGTAGGTGCTCTTGTGTTTCTTAAATTTTGTTGGCAGAGTAAAACTGTAATTGTTGGGAAATTCCTGTTTCTTACGAACAAAGATGAGTTTGGTTTGTACAACTCAGTCCTCATGACAAATGAAGGTGTTGTACAGAATTTGCCCACGTGCTTAAAATTTGTGTGTGCATTTTGATTAGTGCTTAGATATTTTCCTGTATCTATTTTAGCCGTATTTGTATTCAAAGCATAAGCTTTTTCCTTTTAGTGAAAGAAAAGGGTAATACTTTGTGTCAGGCATTATGGAGTAAATGATTAAGGCAGCTCAAGGCTTTGAGTCTTGGGAGGTGGGGAGTCAGAGGTTACGTTTGTAACCTTGCACAGGCAGTGTTCGCTGTTTGGGAAGTTCTGGTTTAAAGCATGTGTTTTACTGGAGATAACACTTGAATTTGTGCGTACAATGCTGTATGCACTTTGTCTTTTTTTTTTTTTTTTTTTTGAGACACGGTCTCGCTATGCAGTTCAGCTGGCCTTGTGCTCATCACTTTTGTAGCCCCGAGGCTGGTCTCAAACTTGCAGCAGCCCTGTCTACACCTCCTGAGTGCTGGCGTTACAGGTGTGCACTACCACGTCTGGGGTTCTGGAGCTGGCACAGTGCAGCCGGGATTCTGGAGCTGGCATAACATGTGGGGCTGGGGATCCAACTCAGGACCTTGCTCTTGCCAGGTAGGTGCTTATGCCTTTGAGCTATCTCCCCAGCCCCTGCATTTGTGTCTTGATTGGCACTTTATGTCTCCTAGCTTCTACGAAACTTACACCGGTTGACTTTTTTCTTGAACTTTACCTGCTATTCACTTCAAGAAGGCAGCCATCTTGCAACAAAATGTGCTTAATAAATCACTAGATGAAATTAAGAATTGCTGAATAAAATACAGTACTGTCTACATAGCCTAAATGCATTAGAATATAGTGGAATGCAGTTTGTTTTTTAAATTTTGAACAAGAGAAAAGGGTTGAGTCAAAGATGTGTGCTTATTTAGGCTACCTTAACTACCCACCTGTGGGCTTTGCCACTCTCATGTGTTTACATTTTCTTGATAAGTTACATGTCACCATATGTGGCCACTGTGTTGGACATTGAGAATTCAAAGAGGAATATAATTTTTCTGCTTTCTTGTCATTTGTAGGCTTAAGAGGTGTACTAGTTGTAGAACAACAGAAAAAAGAATGGCCAAAAGTAACACTAAATAAGAGCTTGCCAAACTGGGGTGAGGGCATTTCAGAAGGAACCACAACAACTAGGATTGAACTGAAGTGTCAGTGTTAGGGAAAGGCCAGTGGTGAGGTGCTGCTGGAGAGCTGGAGTAGCTTGAGAAGGACTTAGAAAGTGTGAGGTTTATACCTTTCTCCTAATGGTGAAGAAGGGGCCAAAAATCAAGGGAGCAAAGTGATTAGTGAGCACTTTGGCATCAATATAGAGAATGCATTGAGGTTACATGTTAAAAAAATCAAGTCACATTTTACATAATAAGGGCTCTATTTTACCTTGGATATGCTATCTCTTGAGTCTGGTCCCTTGTGTACAGGGCTTGAGGGTTCCACCCAATTGCTTTATGATATAAAGCCATTAAAAATTAATGTGTCAAGGCAGGGGGAGATAGCTCTGCAGTCTTAAGTGCTTGCCTGGTAAGCATAAGGACCTGGGTTTGATCCCCAGTACCCTATGCTGTGCCGGCCAGTGAGACCCCATACCAAGTAAAAAGATTTAAAGAAAGATTAATTGAAGCCTCTACAAAAAAATTAAAATGTCAGTATATTTTAGAAGTAAAAGCAGTCAAAACAGTGAAAGCTTTGAAAGTGGTACACATGAAAGTTCAGGTCTGAGAACTTGTCTTCTCACTAAAGCTTAGGCAAACTAGAGAATTAAACTGGAAAAACATAATGTTCACCAGAAGTTACAGTCACAGAGCTAGGGTTATTTATTTATTTATTTATTGACGGAACTGGGGATTGAACTCAGGCCCTTGGCGCTTATTCTACTGAGCCATCTCCCCAGCCCCAGAGCTAGGGTTATAATTATCCTGAAGACTTGTTAGGATATGGCCTATAAATGTGAAACTTTCTTTCTTTTTTTATTTTTTTTAATGTAGTTAGTACAGGGTCTACAGAGTCTCACTACACAGGTTGGATTTGTAGTGATCCTCCTGTTCTCAGCCTCTCAAGCACTGGGATTATAGGCGTGCGCCATCATGTACCCTCTCAGTGTGCCCTGGGGGCAGGGCTGGCACACCATGCTGGGGATCAAACCCCAGTCCCCATTGTCTGTCTAAGCAGGCCCTTCAGTCCACTGAGCTATCTGGCTGGCCCTAAGGGTCAAACTTTGGGTGAAGAGAGTTTTCTCTTCCATACATTATTAGACTTGGAATATTAAACTGTATGAAGCTCATAAAGCTGTTACAATCAGTCTTGCTGTAAAGCGCCTCATAGTTTCCTAAAAGCCTCTGGGCAGTGCACAGTTGTTTGATAGAAACTACAAGTCAGCAAAAAATAGAATTGGGGTGCAACAGTCAAAATTTGTCAGTGACTTTTAAACCAAGAAACAATAAAGATGGTAGCACATTTTTATGTATGTGAAGTAAGATCTTTTTATATAAATTGAAAAGACCTATTTTGTTTTTGCAGAGAGCTGTCAAAAGGGTTGTTGTTGCTGTGAGATCCCGAAAGGAGAGGTCACCAGAAAATCAGATGGAAAGTTATAATACTAGAAATGAATGATTGTGGCTCATAACACAGAATAAACTGATTTAATCAGTAGATGTTTTAAGGTGTGTCTGTTCTGTGTATTTCTCTACTGCTCAGTTCATCTGGGTGTTAGTTTTCTACTTTCACCTAGTTCTTTTTGTAGACAAAATAGCACATAAACCAATCAGGAATTTGCATTATACTTATATTGTTTCCTAATACATCAATCATGTTGAAACAAGTTCACATTCTCAACGAGTTACA